TTTTTTTTTTTAATTTGATTTATATGCCGCCCTTCTCCGAAGACTCAGGGCGGCTTACAATGCGTTAAGCAATGCGTTAAGTTTTGAAGTAAGCCAATATTATTATTTTTGCCACAGTTATTAAATGCATCACTGTAATTGTTATGTGAATCAGTTGATCATTAAGCCAATTAAGCTTCCTCCACTGACTTTGCTTGCTGGCTGGGAAGATCACAAATAATGATCACATGATATTTGCAGCCATCATAAATACATGCCAATTCCCAAGCTCCCAAATTTTGATCATGCAACTGGTAGATGCTGTTACAGTTCTAAATGCAAGGATCAGTTATAAGTCACATTTTTTCAGTGCCATCAAACAATTGCTAAATGAAATGTCTCTAAGCCAGGGATAACTTGTATACTGGAAGCAACAGCCAAAAGACTTATCAAATATGAAGAAACTTATGAGATATGCTTAGTTTGATGTTTATTTCATATAAAATAAAAACTGTATATCTTATTCTCAGGGAGATCTTTGACTGCAGAAAAAGCTTGAAACATACATTTATTTATTTATTTATTTGTTTGTTTGTTTGTTTGTTTGTTTGTTTGTTTGTTTATTTATTTATTATTATATTTCTATACCGCCTTTCTCCCGTAGGACTCAAGGCGGTGTACAGTCAAGAAAAATATAGATACACAAACATCATAAAATTGCTAATTAAAATTATTATTATAACATAGTTTGGTCCAATTAAATAGAACCTAAAATTAGATAATATTTTAAAAACATTTACATGTTCATATGTTTAGCCCCGCTTGTTGGAACATCAGGGTTTTGAGGGCACAGCGGAAAGCACAGAGATCAGGGATATTTCGTATCTCAGGGGGCAGTTCATTCCAAAGGGTTGGAGTCCTCACAGAGAAGGCCCTCCCCCTGGGAGTCACCAGTCGGCATAATTTGACTGATGGTACCCTGAGTAGTCCCTCCCTGTGAGAACGAACTGGTTGGTGGGAGGCTATTGGTGGCAAAAGACGGTCTCGTAGGTACCCAGGTCCTAAGCCATGGAGCGCTTTAAAGGTGATAACTAACACCTTGAATCGCACCCAAAAGACCACCGGGAGCCAGTGCAGCTCATGTAGGAGAGGTGTTACATAGGTGTAACGAGCTGCGCCCATATCACCCATGCGGCTACGTTCTGGACCAGTTGGAGCCTCCGGGTGCTTTTCAAGGGGTGCCCCATGTAGAGAGCATTACAGTAGTCCATACGGGAGTTAACTAGGGCATGAGTGACCGTGCGCAAAGCGTCCTGATCCAGAAAGGGACGCAACTGGCGGATCAGGCGAACCTGATAAAAGGCACCCCTGGCCACGGCCATCAAATGATCTTCTAAAGATAGCCGTGAATCCAGGAGGACACCCAAGTTGCGGGCCCTCTCTATGGGGAGCAAGATCTCATCCCCAATTGTCAGTGATGGTACCAGCTGACTATACCAGGATGCCGGAAGCCACAGCTACTCGGTCTTGGAGGGGTTCAGTCTGAGCTTGTTTCTCCCCATCCAGATCCGCACGGCCTCCAGGTTTATAAAGGTTTATATTCTGAAGGTTACAAATTATTTACCCATTAACATTCATGGGTTTTATATTTAGCCAGGAAATATTTATGACATTTAGGAGCATTTGTTATTGTTGTTAAATTTGTATCCTGCTTTCCCACAAAAAACAGCATATAAAGTATCTTAGAAAACATTATCCAACTAAAAATACATACAGGTAATTGTCGACTCACAACCACAATAAACCCAAAATTTCTATTGCTAAGCAAGGCAGTTGATAAGTAAGTTTTGCCCCATTTTATGACTTTTTTTTTTTTGCCACAGTTGCTAAGCTAATCTCTGTTTAGTTAAACTAATCCTGCTGTTGTTAAGCAAATTTGGCTTTGCTTGTCGAAAGCCGGCTGGGAAGGTTACAAAATGATGATCACATCAACCTGGGACAGTACAATTGTCATTAATACATGACAGTTGCCAAGCGCTTGACTTTTGATCATGTGGCTAAGGAGATGCTGCAATATTGCGTGAAAACTGGTCTTAAATAACTTTTTTTAGTGCTGTTGTAACTTAGAACAGCCACTAATCAAATGGTTGTAAATCAAGGACTACCTATACGTGAAAAAGAATTGGAGAGTTTCTAATTAGTTAAAAACAATCTCTAACTGCTAGTTTCTGAATAAAAATCTGTGGTACTGAGGAAGTTTTCTTTCTTTTTTCCATCAAAACATATCCTAACAATGCTGATACTGAAAGGAAAACCTTTCCTACAATCTTAAAAGCAAGAGGACTGTATATCCTTTTCCAAATAATGTTATTAGAGACAAGAATCCTGAAGTTTCCATCTTTCACAATCCACTGCTAAAATAGAAATATCTAATTTCCAGATTGTGGAAGAGCTCCAATTTTCTTCTTGCAGAAAGAATAGCTTAAAATGTGTTTTATAATACTAATACTGCCACTGACAATCATTCCAAACTGAAAGAAAATTAAACCACTCTACACTGTGAAATTTAATATCTGCGATCAAAGAAACTATTCGTGCTTTTTTTTTTTTAAAGTGAAATAAAAGGTGACACATAAAATCCATTTGCAGGTTTTAATATGACAGGCCTGATAGAGATTTGGCTATTTATGAGCATTTTCACTTATTTTCTCTTGGATACATTACCAAGCTTTACGTATCAGATGAAAGCAGAGAGAGCTTTCCAAGCTTTTTATTTTATGGGATTCCATACCCACCTTCTTTAATAACTCTGTTGGTCCTTTAATCTCTTTGGAACTTCGTGATTTCAATCACTACTTTAGAATGAATTCTAGTGTTGTTGCCGAAAATGGAAATATACCGCCAACGAGTGCTTTCACAATTAAGAAAGGAAAAATGTTTATCAGCAGGCTTAGTGCTGATGATCACAAGCTGCTTCAGATAGCTGCCTACAAATCTCCAGCATCTTTTAAAAGAACATTCTTAATCAGGCACCCTCCTGATGACTTTCAAGTTCCAGAATTCGTAGTAGGTTTTTCTAGAGACTGGCTCATAATGTTGAGAGCTCCACTATATCTACAGGTTATCCAGTTAGAGCAAGAAATCTAAGTTTTCTCTGTTTATTTGCATCCCCTGCCTCCAAAATCAGCATTTTCAGTTCCTGTATTTCAGATATGGGGTCCTACTTCAGATATGAGTGCTCTCTGAGCTTATTGCTTTCTTGCAGACATTTTATTACCCAACTAGATATCATTATCAATGCTAGTAAGGAGTAGGGTTGCCTTTCCGTTTATATTCTAATGGTTGGCCCTGTCAGTGTTGGAGGTTCTTTGGTTGGACTGTTTATTGTTAGTTTGTTTGACATCTCCTTGGTGTATTGCTGACTTCTTGATTGTTGATCTGATGTTAATTTTGGATTAATTCACATCTGGATGTTGATTGCTGATGAGGAGAACTTTTGGTCATTCATTCCCTTTTTGGCTTCTTTATTGTCTCTTTTGCACAATATGTAGATATTGTTTTTGACTATGTGTCTCTTGGTGGATAATTTGTGAGAGTCCAGCAGCCAAATCAGAGGAGGAGAAGGGGTGGGAGTCAAGGTCAGCATCAGGGCAACCTGAGAGCTCCGAGGGGGAAGCTGTAGACCGATCCTGGGGAAGGAAGAGCCACTGCTGCTAGCGAAGCCCCATCTTAGCTCTGGGGATAAAAGGCAGGGGGTGGAAATGAATAGATGTGGCAGACAACTATTCATCTTCCGGATGGACGGACTTATTAGCCTGCGAGAGAATTTTTTTGCTGACATTTCTAATAAAAAGGAAACTTTTGAGTTCACATCAGGGGATTTGTCATGTTTAGGGAGCTGGGTCAGAAGAGCATGATTACATTTTTTCACTATTGTCATGGTTTACATGCAAGTGTGCTATTGTGATATTTCCATGACATGACCTGTTCATTATTACTGCAGCTGCTTCTGTTTATTTTAGCATGATTTATCTAAAATTTCTAAATTTTATTCCTGCCCACAGATAGTCTTACCAGATTGATCCTCATATGCTATTAATAAGGGTTCGGGTTGTGGGACTCACCATCATTCTGCAGTTATTAATAAGATAAAAATGAGCTCTCCCATATAGCTTATGCCCATATAATCTACATAGCTATTCAAGATAAGACCTTAAATTCTCATCTGGATAACATTTTTTGTGTGTGGCATTATCATTATCATTTTCTATTGTAGTGGAAGCCATGGGTTGCTAACCACTAAGACATTCCACAGAAAATTCTGGATGTTTGTGATGATGTCAAAGATTCCCAATGATTTTTGCCAATGATCCTCTACTGCTTAATCTATTTATTCTAAGCTTCTCAAAAAGTCAAGGAACCTGTATGGTTCTATAAAGACGAAAAGGGTGCTCAGTAATTGTCCTTAAGATTTATGATAGAATACTAATGAAACTCTGTATTTTTGCCCTGTGTCGATTGAGATTTTTCTTTTTTACCCAGCATCTTTTTTTAATCTGTTTTGTTTGTATATAGTTGTCCGTTTTATTAAGATGGGTAGCTACATACATTTGAATTATAAATAAGTAACAATATGCTATAACATATCTCCTGTTAGAAGTACATTTATCATATTTATAAATTGCACATTTCCAATATAGCCAGATTTTAATGATATATAATGGAAATCATGAAACATCAACAAGTAACAAGCATTCAGGAGAAAATATTAAAAATTCATAAGGAAATCAACTGAATCTATCATTTTCCTGATATGGGCCAATCTAAACATTCTCAAATTTCAGTAAGCCATGACAGAACTATAGCTACATGCAAATAAACCAAAAATCACTAGTATGCCTCATTGAATGGGTAGGATCAGAAACCATCTGAAATAGAGTTATGGAGTTAATTATACATTTTAATGTATTACACCTACATTTTTTGATGATCCAGAAGGATGAGAATGGGCTTTGCCTTACCTGAAAGCCCTTTCTGATTGCGGTGGGTCCGGTGGTCCTCTTCCATGGGGAGTGCTCTTCCGATGACGTCGGATCGGGTCTGCTAGCTGAGAAGCTCCTCCCTTCCTGTAGCCTCCCAGCTTTCTGATGAGATTCGATTTGTAGCAGACCTACACGGTGAGCTGCAAGAAAGGAAACAGGACACCAGAACCCCGCCGAATCGGCCCTGGGCATAACAGGGCGGGGCGGACCACCGGACCCACCGCAATCAGAAAGGGCTTTCAGGTAAGGCAAAGCCCATTCTCATTGAACGTGGGTCCGGTGGTCCTCTTCCATGGGACATACCAAAGCGTGAAACTATAGGGAGGGAGTTGCCCTGGCCGATGAGGAGGTCCGCTGGAGGACCTGTTGGAGTACCCTACGCCCAAATGCTGCATCCGCAGATGCAAACTGGTCTAGTCGATAATGCCTAATGAACGGGGTAGGGGACGACCAGGCCGCAGCCCGGCAGATTTCCTCCAAGGAGGCTTGGGTGGCCCAGGCGGCCGAAGTGGCCGCACTGCGGGTGGAATGGGCCGTGATCCTGGGTGGAACTGGCAAGGCCTGGGACCCGTAAGCCGTGGCTATGGTGGCCCTAATCCAACGCCCCACTGTAATGGATGAGACTTTTTGGCCCATACTAGATGGCTGGAAGGAGACTAGAAGGGATTCTGATCTCCGAAAGTCAGATGTCCGATGGATGTAGATCCGAAGGGCTCTCCTCACGTCCAGGGAGTGCCAGGCTCGTTCTAAGGGCAGGCTAGGACGTGGACAAAAATTTGGAAGGACTAGTTCCTGTGCCCTGTGGTAAGGGGAATTCACCTTAGGGAGGAACGTGGGGTCCAACCTAAGTACCACCCGGTCAGGATGAAAAACGCAGAGATCAGCCCTGATGGAGAGGGCTGCCAACTCTGAAATCCGCCTGGCCGAGGTTATGGCCAGTAGGAAGGCGACCTTATAAGACAGGAAACGTAGGCCCACTGACCTTAGGGGCTCGAAGGGAGCCTTCGTGAGGGCGTCTAGCACTAAGGGCAAATCCCAGGAGGGATATCTGTGGATAGACCCCGGGCGAAGGTTGGAAGCCCCCCTGAGGAAGAGGCGGATGAGGGAACGACTCGAGAGGGAATGTCTAGAACCGCAACACAAAATGGTGGATAGGGCGGAGACCTGCCGACGGAGCGTGTTAGGGGCCAGGCCTGCCTCAAAGCCGTCCTGCAAAAACACCAGTACCTGTACCGTGGAGGCCGACGTAGGGACGATGGAGCGACGGTTGCACCATGACACAAAGGAGCGCCAGGTGGAGTCGTAAATCCGTGTTGTTGACGAGCGTCGAGCCGCTTGGATAGTGTTGGCGACCCGAGAAGGAATCTTGGACTTCTTCAGCAAGCTCCGCTCAACCGCCAGGCGGTTAGCTGAAGCCACGCCGGATCCGGGTGCAGTAACGGCCCTTGACGAAGAGTCACTTTGTCTCGAGGAAGATGCCAGGGATGACGGACGGACAGGGCTTGGAGGTCCGCGAACCATGGCCGACGGGGCCAGAACGGGGCAATCAACAGGAGCTCCGCCCGGAGGAACAGCATCTTTCTGATGACTTTGGGAATGAGAGGCAGAGGCGGAAAGGCATAGAGGAGGCCGGCCGGCCAGCTGCTGTGTATTGCGTCCACTGCCTCCGCCCCCGGCTCCGGGTAGCGAGAGAAGAATCTCTCTGTCTGGCGATTGGCCCGAGTGGCGAACAGATCCACCACCGGGAGGCCCAGGCGGTCGGTGATCATCCGAAACAGGCCCGGGTCGAGGGCCCACTCCCCTTGGTCCACTGACTCCCGACTGAGCCAGTCCGCCTGGGTGTTCGTCACGCCCGATATGTGAGATGCCCGGAGGGACCTCAGGTGAGACTCCGCCCAGGCTCCCAGACTCTCGGCCTCCTGCATGAGGTGGCGAGACCGGGTCCCCCCCAGGCGGTTTACATGAGCCTTGGCGGCTACGTTGTCCGTCCGTACCAATACGTGTTTGTCTGACACCTGATCCTGGAAGATCCGAAGGGCCAGGTGGATGGCCCGAAGTTCCAACCAGTTTATATTGTGTGTCAGATCTGACTGGGACCAGCGCCCCTGGGCCATGGACGAGGACAGGTGGGCCCCCCAGCCCAGGAGACTGGCATCTGTAGTCAGAATAAGGAATTGGGACACCCTGAACTCCCTCCCCTTGAGGACTGCTGCTGAAGACCACCACTGGAGGGAGAGGAGAACTTTGTGGGGAAGGAGGACCTTGCGGTCGGAAGTCCCTAGATGACGTTTTTGGAACGGGATCAGAAACCACTGCAGATCCCTGCAGTGGAGATGCGCCCAAGGGATGATCCCAATGCAGGAGACCATCTTTCCCAGGAGCTTGGACAGGGCTGCCAGGGAGACTGGTCTCCCTGACGACACTGACCTGACCAGTGACCGCAGGCTGGACAGGCGGTCCTGGGAAAGATAAACCTTGCCTTCCACCGAATCTATGATGGCTCCCAGGTGCTGTATGCGAGTCGTGGGTATCAAATGGCTCTTGGCCATGTTGACGGAAAACCCGTGGCTCTCCAGGACCTGGAGGATGGTGTCCAAGTCCTGGCGCGCTAGATCCTCCGAAGTCGACTGGATGAGGAGATCGTCCAGATAGGCCTGGATCCTTACTGGAAGAGTCCGGAGGTAGCCCACTAGCGCGGCCATGATTTTTGTAAAAACTCGGGGAGCCGAGGATAGGCCGAATGGGAGGGCTCGATATTGATAATGACGACCCGCATAACAGAAGCGGAGGAACTGCCTGAAGGCCGTGTGGACTGGAACGTGGAGGTAAGCCTCCATCAGATCTATTGAGGACAGATGGTCCCCGGGCCTGATACCCTCCAAGATGGAGCTGAGGGACTGCATTTTGAACCGACGGTATCGGATCCGTCGGTTCAGGGATTTGAGGTCTAGAATTGCCCTCCAACCCCCCGACGACTTCTGGATGACGAACAGGCGGGAGTAAAAGCCTTGTCCGCGCAGCTCCTGAGGTACCGGTTCGATGGCCTGAATCTCGAGAAGATGTTGAATGGCCGATACCATCAGGAGCCGACGAGCCCGATCCCGAGAGAAAGGGCATTTGAGAAATCGGGTCGGGGGTGTGGAGAGAAATTTGAGGGAGAGGCCCACCCTGACAGTCTCCCTGACCCAGGCGTCCGAGGATGTGGCCTCCCATTGGCTGGCAAACAGGGCCAGGCGGCCTCCGATGGGAAGGCTGGACGAACCGTCAGCGGGATCTGCGGGCGGAGCGCCCACGATCCCCACGGAAGGGGCGCCTAGATTGGCCCCGCTGAGATTGGAACCCCTGACGCTCGGAGGGGCGGAATTGTCTGGATGGAAAGGACCTCTGACCTTGTCGAGGAAAGGAGAATCCTTCTGGCCCTCGAAAGGGACGAAAGGAGGAGGAGGAGGAAGAGGGGAGGAATCTTTGTCCCGACCTACGAGACATGGAAGGTAAGTATTTACGCTTGTCCCTAGATTCTGCTAGGAGAGGTTCCAATGGAGCCCCGAATAGGAAGGGGCCTTCAAACGGGGATGTCGCCAGACGCCATTTAGATTTGGCGTCTGCCTGCCATTGTCTGAGCCAGGAAAGTCTACGGGCCGTGATAGTTGCCCCAATGGCCTTGGCCGTGAACCTGGATGAATTCAAGGTGGCGTCGGCCGAAAACTCTAAAGCTGCCAGTACCTTAGTAATGTCCTGCTGAGAGCGTAAGTCAGACACTGGAAGACGTTCCTGCAGTTGCTTGAGCCAAAGAATGGACGCTCGGTTAAAGAAGGAAGCAGCCATTGAGGATCTGACGGCCCATGCAGAAGCCTGGTGAGACTTGACCAACACGTGCTCCAGACGGCGTTCCTCCGGCCGGAGGTTCTCCTCTGGAGGGCCCGCAGTATACGAAGAGGTCGAAAGGGCGGCAACCGGAGCATCCACCGAGGGCACCTGCAGAAGGGAGGAAAACTCCGGGGCCATATTATAAATGCGCTTGTCCAACGCATTGGGTCTAGGCCCCGAAGCAGGGGCAAGCCATTGCTTAGTGAGGACATCCCGGAACAATTTGGGGCCTGGGATCTCTTCGGTTTCAATGAGAGGTTCCTCAAACAGAGGCACTGAAGAAGTTCCCTCCCCAGCCGGATTAGGGCGGGGTGTTCCTAAACCAGTCGTTAACTTAGCTTTGTGCAATAAGGACCTGAACAATTGAGGTTTGAATAGGCCTATGAAAGAAGGTTGGTCTGGGGTTAAGTCTTCATCATCAGACAACTCAGTGTCCTTAACCTCCTCACCGGTGAGAGAACCTTGGACAGAAGAAGCTGATGAATGAGCTCTGGCAGGGGGTTGAACCCTATCTGACATAAGACCTGAACCTTCCACATCTATGTGAGAGGGTGAATCAGAAACCCATGAGGCTGTTCTGCGCTGTCTGTCGGCCTGAATGCCTTGCTGAATGGCCTGATGGATATAAGCCACCAAATCTGGGGAAATTACAGGCCCCTGCCCTTGGTTATCAGAACTCTGCAGGACTGGGGAAGGAGAAACCCTGCCCCCCCCCGGGGATTGAGCCCTAGAGGGCTCCTCTTCTTGATTCCCAAAGAGAGATTCATTAACTTGTTGCTGTGGCTGAACAGAAGCCCCATCCCCATCCGGGGATAAGGCTGGAGGCAAGGCCTGGGCAATGGGTTCAGGTCTCACAGGAGAGGAGGCCCAAGCAGGGATAGAGGCTGAGGCCTCAGCTTCCTTAATAGAGGCCTCCTTGAGGGCCTTTTGTATTGAACGTTCAATTGCCTGGTGCAGCCTCATCTCCTCCCTTGATCTAGATTCAGAAGATTTGGAGGAGGATTTTTTAGTCTTTTTTGTAGGAACCTCAGCTGAAGTTCCAGGTTGGTCCAAAGAAGGGCCCTGTCTCTTAGTCTTAGACTGTCTGGTGGGAGCCATTGTAGAAAGAGGCCCAGACCTCGCAGAAATGCAAAATGGCGGAGGGAGCAGAAAGGCCAAAATGGCGGCTGCCACGAGGTGAGCAGGGATCCCTGGAGAGGCCTAGGAAGGCTGCAAGCCGTCTGCCGAAGAAAGGGCAAATAGAACAATTAATCCAGGAGGGGAGGATGATCCTTAGTTAATCCCCCCCCCGCAGGGAGAAACTTACTTTGGCAGCAATGAGTTCCAATTAGACTGTGCTGTCTCCTTTGCAATTCCCTCCAGGCGCGTGGGCGAAAGCCCAGGGGGCGCCAAATCGCTGCTGAACAGGCAGGAAAAATCGCCCTGCCTGCGGTCCTGCCGGAGCTGAAAGGAGAGCCGGAGGAGAATGGGGCGATTAGGCCCGAGGGAAAGGCTCCCAGCTCCTGCGCCTTCCGGCGCGATGCAGCCCAACGGAGCAGTGGAGGCTCCGCCTTCCCCGCCCCTTCTGAAGCCGGTGCGGCGGCGGGGAAGCAACCACCTAATCCCTGCCTGAGGGCTGCTGCAGCGGCATAGGGAGTTTAACCCCTCTCGCTGCCAGAGAAATCTCCACCTCGAGGGAGCTTAACTCACCTCGATCAGTCCTCAGCGGCCTCGGGATGAAACCTTGCTCGCTGGGAAATATTCCCCCCCCCCCCGGGGGAATCAGGCAGGCAACAATTTAAAAGTCCAATTAGCTGGAAGGCAGGGATCAATTTAGAATATCCAATTAGAGTTATAATACTTCCAAAGTTATGGAGCAGCTCAAACCGTGACTTGATCCAAATCGGATCGAGTCTGAAAGCTGGGAGGCTACAGGAAGGGAGGAGCTTCTCAGCTAGCAGACCCGATCCGACGTCATCGGAAGAGCACTCCCCATGGAAGAGGACCACCGGACCCACGTTCAATGAGAATAGCTAAACAAAGTCATAAAGGCCTTGGGAATGATATTAAAATACTATGATGTTTCTATACCTACAGCAATGAGAATTGTGCAAGAATGATATTCTCTGTGACACTCTGTGAAACCAAAAATTGATCTTTGAAAAAAAAAAAAGGATTGGAAGTATATTGATGCTTTTGAACTTTGGTGTTCAAGAAGACTTCTGAGACTATCATGAACAGACATGAAAAATATTATTGAACACATTAACCCAAAGTAGTAACTCGAAGTACAAATGACCAGATTCAAATTATCTTGCTCTGGACACATTATGCAAAGACCTAGCTCTCAGAGAAGTCTCTAATTTTGGGAAAGA